AGACCTCAAACCATTTGTTAGCCACAGGGTGAGTGAAATCCTAGAAAACTCAGACATAGTCAACTGGAATTGGATTCCTTCAAATGAAAATATTGCGGACGAAGCTACCAGAGAAAATATACCATGTGATTGGAGTCAATCAAGCCGGTGGATCAATGGACCTAGTTTTATAAAGCTAAATAAGAGATTCAGGTTTGAAGAAGAGCTTGAGGAGGCACATGAGAGACAGTTCGACGAAGAAATCAAGAAAGAAATGAAAAAAGAATATGTCGCTGTAGTGATAGAAGTAAAAAATGTATCCGAATGCTTGCCGGATATAAGGAAATTCTCATCGTATCTGAGACTGCTGAGGACAACAGCATGGACTCTACGCTTTATCAATAGACTGAAGCATACTGCAACCAATTCGTCAGAGTTACTTCCTGGAGAAATTGACGATGCTGAAAAACTATGGATCAAACATGTTCAACAACAGTGTTTTCAGGAAGAAATCACTTGTTTAAGAAACAATATTCCAGTATCGAGAACATCCAAGCTTTATAAACTTTCGCCTGTTTTGGATAGCGAAGAAATTCTGAGAATTGATGGACGATTGAATGCTGCCGAAATGCTAGATGAGAGAACTAAATTTCCCATAATTTTGGAACCCAAACATCTTTTCACAAGGTTATTATTACATTTTCATCACATAAAAGTAGGTCATCATGGTCGAGAGCTAGTTTTAAACGAGATTAGACAGAAATTCTGGATACTTCGGACTCGAGCAGCTATACGAAGTACTTGGAATTCCTGTCAATGGTGCAAGAATATGCGAGCCAAACCGATTATCCCAGAAATGTCTCCACTACCTAAATGTCGGGTAAGTAGTTTTGCTAGACCTTTTACTTTTACAGGCTTAGATTATTTTGGTCCAATGAGCGTGACAGTAGGTAGAAGACGAGAGAAGAGGTATGGCGCACTATTCACCTGTTTGAGTACCCGGGCTGTTCATCTGGAGGTAGCGGCTTCCCTCGACACCGATTCTGCAACTTTGGCCATCCGCAGAATGATAGCTAGAAGAGGTTATCCACAAAAAATCTACTCCGACAATGGCACCAACTTACGAGGAGCAGCCAAAGAACTCAAAAATGCTATGATGGAAATGGATCAGAATAGAATCACGACAGAGCTGACAACGAAGGGGATCGAATGGATATTTATACCTCCACTCACGCCGCACATGGGTGGAAGCTGGGAGAGATTGGTAAGATCTGTGAAAACAGCCCTTCAGGTTACCTTGAAAGAACAAGCACCAAAAGAGGAAGTTCTATTGACTCTCCTGGCGGAGGCTGAGAATATAGTCAACAGTAGACCCCTGGTGCATGTATCATTGGATCCAGCAGACGAAGAGGCTATAACACCTAATCATTTTTTGATTGGGACATCCAGTGCAGCTCCTGTTCCCTGCTTGCTCACTGAGAATGATCTGGTTACCAGGAAACATTGGAGACGAGCTCAATATTTTACCGAAAAATTCTGGAAACGATGGGTAAAAGAATATCTCCCAACTTTGGTAGCAAGAACGAAGTGGCACGATAAACAAGGAAGAGGAATTCAAGTTGGAGACGTTGTCGTGATAGTAGATGGAGACTTGCCGAGAAACTGTTGGCTGAAAGGCGTAGTTTTGTCTACTTATCCCGGAACAGATGGCCAAGTAAGAAGCGTGGATGTGAAAACAAAACTAGGCACCTATCGACGACCAGTTGTGAAAATTTGTCGTCTAGAAGTGGAGAAGACCACAGAAGATTAAGTAATGAAGGGTTCATTACTGGGGGGAGAATGTTGATGAAGATTGTTTTAATAATATTTTGATTTGTACACTCACTATATGGTTGATGTTGTTATGGTGGAATGTAAATAAAAAGACAGTTCAGTTGTTAATAAAATATAAAAAGGGAACAATTTTTGTACAATTGCTTCAGCATAAAAAGACAGAGATTTACAACCTCTGGTTTACTTGAAAGGCTGGAATAGAAATAAAACAATATTTAAGTCCGAAACAGCATTCGAATCGCACATAATGACTATTACCCACTCAGATGTTCACAGCACTCGCCTCCGGCTCGTACTGCAACTTTCATCTTCGTGGGTAATAGCCATCATTATGCGCTCGTTGAATAATACACTAATACAATGATTCTAACAGTAGCTCCGATTATTTTCACATTTGTCATTTGACACCTCGAAATGTCTAACTCATGAAAATATGATCAATTCAAGTGATAATCATTTTATACAGTCCGCACCATATGTGAGGGATGAATTGATTTTCTACAAAATTAGCCATTTTTAGGAAAAAAAACTAAATTACGTCGATTCATTCACCCTCCTCAACGTGACAACCAACCTCTCAGTTATTCTAAATAAAATAGGGGATTGAGTAAATTATTGTCTGTATGTTGATCGAGGAGGTGGTTACATTGATTTTTTAACATGTCTTGTAATTTTTCTCAGGTTCCTACGAACTCCGATGTATTCTCCACATTCTTTCATATCCTGCTTATTATGGATGGACTAGTTACAATCATTAGACCATGACAATTATGGCAACATTGATTAGATGCGAAATCTGAGTCCATCACGATTTCATACCCACTCATACGCGCGATGTTTTTCGAACATTATATAGATTCCCTCTTGTGCGCTCCTCGCGTTGAAAAAAATACATTACCACTTATGAAATATGCATTTTGATTGGACTAATCACCATCATTAGAATTTTTCGCAAAGAATTGCTCGCGGAAGAGTAGAAGAGAGATAATTTCAGAAGAGTTTCTCAATATTTCAGAACGAACTGAAGATACCTAATAATTGCCAATATTCAATATTCAATTCCAATTTCTTGTTCCCAATCACTGAATTTTACATTTGCTTAGAAATCTTGCCATCAGTTTGGCATTTTCGTGGTATTCATGGAATCAATATCCTTCAATTATTAGTATTCAAGTTGGTGAGTATATGTTTGTTTATAATCGCCGAGATTCAATCCCCATTTTCACCATAATTATGAGCTATTATCCAATTAAACGTTTTATAGCAACTGCATATAAAGGTGGCGTCAATTGCTGAAATGAAGTCAAACGTTCGCTTTCCTCTGAACAAGTTATCTTCATGATGATGGAAGTGAGTTGCTATCTGTTTGTAAATTATTAGGAAATGTAGTCAATCGACTAGCGGTTGAATATTTTGTGTTAGGTACCCATTGATAGAGGTAACTGCATCATTGAAAAATTATCGAAACATATTTATGAATTCGAGAAATATTATTTCATCTAATTTTGATTACGTGATATTCTTCAAGAATAGTGGGATCTCAAGTCTCAACGAAAGTCATGGTATAGAAAACTTAAGCGCTTTCCAGAAGTCTCCCAATGGAACAGGTATGTACGTTGGTTGATTCGACGTTCATTCAACAATGATTGGGTGGAAAATACGTTACACTCATTGATTTTTTAACGTTGCCAAATTGGTTATGACAATGAGTTCACATGAACACATGTCAATATCATACATTCAACTTCATTATGTAACGATTCATTGATGAATTTATTGAAAATACATATTTTTAACTTAAAAATAACTTTGAAAAAAAAACGTTATTTTGAGCGACATTTATACCGATATTCGACGGATGTTTACTCAACCATTTTTCACTTTTTGGCGACGTATAGGTGCCCATTGGGGTAGTGTCTGATTCCATTTGAATGCGGTTTTTCTGATGATACATTCATGTTCTCTCGGTAGTTCGAAGAGGAGTTCAACGGTCATTTCTATTTTTCTCAAATAGAAACACCAATTTTGTTTGTCCTTTTCGAACTATGCATCCAATTCTAAGTAGGTACCTATATGTTCAAGTACCATGTTCTTTATCTGAAATGAAAACTCATCGAGAAAATCACGACATATCGATTAGTAAAACCGGACTTATAGCAACTAGAGGGCCTCGAATATCTCATTATTTGCTCTTTCAAAAGTGTGGACACGCTTGTCAGTTATGGAAATTGGATAGGCGTCCCCGTGAAAATGTTTTCGAATATATCTTGTTCAGTATTGCACAAATTCTGAGATAGTTAACATTTATTCGAGCAGCACGAAGACGAGACTACATTTCAAATGTTCGTTGAAGCATCAAATTTCAATATTAATTTTATGGAAATACATTGGTGTTACGCCAATGTTAGGGTTCAAAATAATAATATGTCTGCACTCGTTCAATAAAGGAGTACCAAAAAGTGACATTCTATCACTTGTAAAACATAGTATTCCATGTTTTTCGTTCAGCAGTTCAACACGATTACAAGTGTGTCCACACTCTTTAAAGAGTGTAAAATGAGATGTTGCAGACACTCTAATAACAACAAACTTATCTTGATTTGTTCGAACAGCCAAGCGGCTCTGAAAATTCTGGAAGCTATAGGATCTTCAAGACTAATCTCAAGATTACCCTTCAGGGGTTTACGACTTGTGAATACGGCAATGACAATCCCCAGGTACCTTAGCCGGATACTCATTAATCTTCAAGTTGTCTTTGGTGGTATCCTCTTTACTCTTCAGCTTCCAATCTTGTTCATGTGCCTTTCTTGGTCAATTCTTCTTTTTTCGTTCTTTCCTAAAGCTCAACCTCACCATGCAAATGTCGATCACACAACCTTTTGCGACTAAACAGGACGGATTGCTTCACATGGGTAGAAGTTCGAACCGACAACTTGAGACTCTGGAGACACATGACCCTTATCGGTGTGCTTAAGGACTCATTGCGTCGACTTTGCGAGGAGGATAAAGACACTTCATCAAACATCCCATGCGAATGTTCCGCAGTGGCCAGAGATGAAAATGCCTAGTTTCAACATATTTGAAGCCTGAGCAGCTGAGAAACATCCCCCTTAATAGAGTTCTGGCCTCTTGCGGCTGAAAAGGATACTGTTCTGGTGATGACCAAAGATACTTGTATGGAATGAGGATCATCCTGACCTCACTCGGGCTTGGGCAATCTCTGCAATCTCTGGTGCTGGACGAATAAATGACGAAGAGCCACTGCAAACGTACATTTTCAGAGGAAACCTTTCCTGATTGGGAATTTTCTCGTATTCAGATTCCCATTTCTTCATGAAATCTATGAAATATTATATATTTTTGGAATATTGGTTATTCATATGGAATGATATTTGTATTATAATGATTTCCTGATAACTAGAAGTTGCATCTTGGAATGAATAGATTATCAATTGAATAATAACTTGGAGAGATTATGAGTGGATTTAGATTCTTTCCAAAAACTAGTAAATTATACCAGGCAACCACGCGCAAGGCCAATTTCACACCAAACCATGCTGATAGCTGCGAATCACACAAGCGTCTAGCTAGACCAGCGAATCTTTCAAACATCAAGGTTATAATAAGGTTATTCGTGTTCATTGGACTCTAGATAATATGAGGGAGCCAAAACTATCTCTTCTACATGAAAAAGAAGAGGACTTCCAACCTAACTTGTCCTGGATAAACCTCTTTCCTGGAAAGTATATTTTTGAAAAATTATTTGAGTGAACAAAATTTGAAAAACTTTGACGCCTCGCAGAGATTGAACCCAAGTCACCATCGTCGAAGTCAGATACACAGACCACTAGGCTACCGCTTTACTCCTAGTAGACGTAGTTTCTCAATATAAAAAAGGAAGAAATATCATGTGCTGTGGGTGACGTTCCTTGACCTCGAAAATTGAAAGTTCCGCTGGTCTAGCTAGACCCTTGTGCGAATTCCTTGATGTTATGTGCCCATTATTCATAGTTGTTTTCCGTTCGTTATTTTCGCCTCCAGACACGGTCTATAGGTAACATAGTTTGTACCTTTTTTATACGCTGTTTTCGTTGTATTCGCACTTGTTGAATTTGGTAATGAGTAAGTTCTAATTCCATTCTCACTATTCTTGAACTCAATTATTCCTCGGAATATTTCTTGTGATCATCATGAGCAAGCCTTCTGAAGACGTGAAACGTTGCATTTTTTCTTCGTTATCAGTTTAGGCTTGTTCGGAGATTTGCATCTCACAGCCGAACGAATAGTGGTTTCCATTGTGCTTGAACTGGTGGAGAATTTATGCACTGAGAGTCACTAAGTGTATATCTATCCTTATTTTCCACGTGTAGCAGAAAGAGGGACTATGTGATAAAGATATTATATTATAAGACTCTCAGAACTCTGGTTTTCAGTAAAGAGATTTTATTAATCACAATCTCCGATCTTTTTCAATAACAGTTGAATTTTCCATCCATCACTTCCGTTGTCCTGGCACCGACAATCAAAGTAGCGCCGCAACACAGGGCGATCCCTGGACTCATGGTAGTTTTTCATCACTCTTTCTTGGTCTTTTTCTGTCAGATGAACTTGTAGTATCCACTTGCTAGGTCTAGAGTTGTGAAGATATTGCATCCAGCCAAATTTTCGAACTGTTCATCTATCTGTGGAATAGGAAAATTGAGTTTAATTGTCTGATCATTCAGTTTCCTAAAATCTACAACTAATTGTTTCTTCCCATTCTTTTTCCGAACTAAGAAAACCGGACTAGCATATGCAGAATTAGTGTCTTCAACTATACCAGATTCTTTCCATTCGCGCACGATTTTCGATATCTCACGGCGATCCTCAGGAATTCATTTATATGGTTCAGCTCGAACTGAAATATTATTGTCAATAATGGCAATTTCAACAATATCCGTACAACCAAGTTCAGACTGATACATTGCAAACGTATCACGAAATTCTTTAATCAAAATCAATAATTATTTAACATTTTCATCTGAAGTATCTGATTGAATGTTCAACATGTCAAGCGTAATGTCACTTTTCAGTTTCGTTAAGAGTTCTGGATTTTCAAAGTCTTCAACATCACCACGAATAAGCATTTGCCCTTGTTTAATTTCGACACTTCGATCGGTATTGTTTATATAGGAAACTTGACAATCACAGTCATGTATGGTAGTTGCAACGAAACCTACGGAATTCTTCAAAATTACTGTATTTGACTTGGCAGTGAGGAAGTGTCTTTGTTTGCCATCGTTCAACTCCAACATACAGAATGGATTTTCATTAGCGTATCTAAAAATTAACTGGTTTCCTAATCTATAATACGCGATTTCATCTAATTCGGTGAATGTTCTACCTAATAAAACGTCAAATGTTTGAGCAGTTTCCGGAACCACTAAAAGTTCAATATTTTCCACACAAATCCCGTCTAATGGAATCTCAACCAGAACCTTATGTCGACAAATAACTACCGCGTTTTCTTGTCCAAAACCAAAAAGTTCACGATTTGAGTCCAAACTATCAAATTGTCTATTTGTCACGATATCCTGCCCAATCGTACAAACTGCGCTACCCGGATCTATAAGAGCTCTCAGTATATGACTCTCATTCACAACAATGTCCTTTATAATATACTTCCCGATGGGATCGCCACGATTATTCATACCACCCTCTACAACTGTCTGAACAGCTGCTGGAGAACTCTGGACGACCGAAGTATGCGCCGCTTCTGGACTCAGCTTCCTCTTTGGACAGTTCCTGCGTAGATGTCTAGCTCCTTTACAGAAATAACAGCTTAAACCGCGCCTCTTTCTTTTCTCATCAGCACTCGACGACGAATCGATGGTTTCAGCTACAGCATCTCCTGTAGTTGCTCCTGTCGACTCTGTCCTATTAATAGATGACTGCATATGCACGCTACTAGAAACATTTTGCACCGGTATTGCAGGAGATCTTGAATGGCTCCACTTGTGGGAATCAGCAAACTGCCTGCTCTGCCACCTGGACTGGCCATTCACCTGACCATAAACTCTTTCAAATTCTTGAATACTATGGAGAAGCTCATCTTCGTCTTTATGATCAGCAGCCAAAATACCAGGAACTATCTGCTTATTACTTAGACCAATGATAACTTGATCTTTGATTTCATCAAATCATAATTTCAATGCTTTACAGAGCTTAACTTTATGGTGGAAGTAAGAAAACAACGAGTTCTTACCTTGAACTGTATGCTCCATTTCTCTCCATAAATCAGTCGTACTCTGTCGAAGACTAAGTGGGTAACTTATCTCTGCTAAAGGTCTTCTTGAATCTGATCTTGAATTCATCAGAGTTTTGAATCGAATCTGAATTTGCTTTCAACCATTCGTTTGCCGTTCCTACAAGATGGATTTTCGCCGTCTCCAATTTGAATGCTTCAGGCCATTTATGCAGCATAGCAGTACTTTCCAGCTGTTCCAACCATCCCAATGCTGACTTTCCTAGTTCCTCTCCATTGAAGTTCTCAATAGATTTACTTAAATCAGGCATCACTTGGTAACTGCAATCCGTAGCTTCCCGCTGTTGTAAATATTGAATCCATCTGTCTTCTGTATCCTTCCGACTCTGTTCCATCAACAACATCATCTGCATAAACTTGTACATAAGCTGATCTGGTGGACCACCACTTGAAGAACTCATATTTCCGTCAACATCTTCTGCTCTCGTCACAGGCATTTCGTAGATCCTTGACCACTTCTGATTCGATAAAGATATTATATTATAAGACTCTGAGAACACTGGTTTTCAGCAAAGAGATTTTATTAATCACAGTCTTCGATCTTTTTCAATAACAGTTGAATTTTTTATCAATAACTTCCGTTTTCCTGGCACCGACAATCAAAGTAGCACCGCAACACAGGGCGATCTCTGGACTCATGGTAGTTTCTCATCACTACTAGGGAACTATGGAATCCGCTATTAGTTTACTCATGTTCACACTAGATTGACCGTTCACGTCATCTGCCGAAATATTTGTTTTTTAATTGCTCTACTTCATTTCAATTGTCATTATAGATTCCAAGAGCATATAAAAAGCGTGATTCTATTCAGTGTAAGAGTATTTTGATGGAAATTCATCAGCAGAAAACTTTCCCAGCGGTAGATAGGAAAGAGAAGACCTATTGAAGACCTGTTGAATGGTCTCTGGTAGCCAGATGGATTTCTTCTGTGAAATTATCACAAAATGAAAGTATTCGTTGACAGATCAAACAATCTGAAGGAATAATTGGAATACACTTATAATTCGGTGCAAAGTTCAAAAATGTGATACTGAATTAGTGTTTTCGTTAGTGAATAAAGAGACGTTTCTTTAACCTTTTAATGCTGACCTATTCATCAGTGTATCATCAAATAAGCTGCATCAAGATTAAGGCATAACTCCTGGGAAACCTTGTGTCTCAATCATTAAACTACCGTTACAAAAACTCATGCATTTCCTAATTTCTCACATATTGCTTCAATTGTAACCACCCTCTTTCGTTAGAGTAAAATAAACGATTAATTTCTTCATCTGTTACTCTAGAAGACTATCTAGATGGTATATAAATGGAATTTAGGAAAGTCAGAAGAGTATATATGGCATCAAATTTTTTTCTGAACTGATTGCATATTGTTTTTGCCTAGAAGTACCTGAAATACCCATAAAGAAAGTTTCATCAGAAGATCATGACACGTTGCGAAAGTCCTATTTTCAAACCCTAAGAAGAAAACTGATGTCGACACCTAAGGGTCAATGAACTTTATTTTCAAGAAAACATTCTCAATCTTTGAGTTATTTATCGGAAATGATCATCCAGCAATGCTGGATTGATATTTACAAACAAACAACAAATTTTTCTTCGAAATAATCTCAAAAGTACCAGATATTCAAGGAATGTTCTCTCAGTATTCGATTTGGAGGTTCCTTGTGAACGCATATTATATCGAGGACTAAAACCTTCGATAATCACTACACCAGTGGTACTCAAAAAGTCGATCGCGAGAGATTTCGGATTCGATCGTGAGAGCTTTCGGAATCGATCGCAAAAAATATTATTTTGAAGTATACGTAAATAAATATTGAGGTCTTTCGAAAGTTCAGTTATTCACGAATACTTTACGCTAATTTTTTTACTGTTACACTTCGAAATTAGAAATATGGCAAAAGCAACTAATAATTGTTAGTGATATCAGGTCGATGATTGAAACTTTGACATTTTCAGACCCTCTTCCAGAATTTTGAAGTTGCCGTGTGTTGCCATTGTGATTTCATAAAAAATTCGCGCATTTTTGAAAGATGAAATTGAACACACTGAGGTTTAAATAGGCGTAAAAGAAGGTATCAATAAGAAAAATAATGATGATCACCCCACGAATAACATCACAATTGTATTACATTTTCTACTCCATACAAACTGAATTTACTCCATGAATTTATGCAGGGTGTTTCAGATTTGAATGGACATACGATACCTGTGAATAGAGGACACTTTCATGAACAAAATCACATTCAATTGATTTGTCTATCATCTTTCATAACTTGGCAAAATCTCCATCAAAACTAAATGGAAATCGAGATCGGGATCCAGGTCCGTCTTGAGGAAAAACAGAGAACTTTTTTATTACAAAAACAACACCCTGTATGGCAAAATTTTGTGGATCTGTTTCGATATTTGAGAGAAGCAGGAAGAAATAGATGAAGAGACCTACTAAACGAGCACGCATTCGATATGACAGATGTTTCATTACTATATTATTTGATATATCAATAGATTTGCTCGTTTCACAGGATACTTGTCAATGATTTTGGAAATTCATATTCACTAGTGAGATATCATTGGTAACGTCAAGGTTACTGTGTTGAGGCATACTTATGAACACTTTCAAATGTGACACAGCAATACAGGCACCAACAATTACCTAAACGTTACCAATGCTATCACACTGTGAATAGTAAATAGGAACTGTGAGAATATTGGAATTTTTTGCACAGCCTACTGCACAGCAGCTTATGATGAATGAATAGTAGAGAATAAAATACCAGTCCTCGAAAATTTCTGAAATCATAGACAAACGCTCTCTGTCATACGATAAAAAATCATCGATACTCCACCATTTTTGCCTCTGATTTCAATTCAATTTATTCAGAAAATAAAGTGTACAGATAATATTGATAACATATTACAAATCTTGGTGTTTCTTTTGGATCATAAGACTGCACCTAAGCATGCTGCATGCTTGTGTTGTACTAGTCTTTAATCCGCAAGAAGCATTCTAATTGTACAACTTTCATATTTGGCGATTGTAGTATAATTAGCGAATATATTAGGTTATTTGCTTAGAATTTTGATGAATGACATATTCGTGAGATTTGGTGAGTACTAAAAGAGAATCAATTAATGTAATGTTTTGTAGATTAGAGTTGAATTTATTTGGACGAAGTTTTTAATCTGTTTTTTGTATTTATTGAAATTTGTTATTGTTTTCATTTCGGGTGGTAAGAGATTATATAGTTTAGGTCCGAAATAGTAGATATACCTTTGAGTGTGGCTTTTTCTGAATAATGGTGTATTGAGGGTGAGATTTTGCATTGCTCTGGTATTTTTTTTTTATGACCTCCAATGGCTGATTAAAACGATTTGCATTTTGAAACATCCATTCTAGGCATTGATAGGCATATAGGCTTCTAACATCAAGTATATCTAGTTGTTTATATAACTGTACAGTTGAATGAAGTCTGTTTTTTTTTAATATTATTTTCAAAAGTTTGTTTTGCATAGACTGGAGTTGTATTAAATTATTTCGGAAAACACCTCCCCATGCTTTGATACAATACCGCAGTATAGATTCAGCTAAAGATGATGATATTGAACTTTGGAGACTGTCATTATTTTATATTAAGAATGGGTTTCGATTCAGGAGTTCAATAAAAATGCCTCAAACTAGAGCTGAATATTCCATAAAAAAGTAATAACACATCTGTCATGATCGAAGAGAAGGTAACTTCATTTACTTTTTCTAGCTCTTTTCAAATTTCGAAACAGATCTACAGAATTTTGTCTTCATGCATGTTTTATTTGTAGTGAAAGAAGTTGTATGTTTTTCTTCGAGACGGGCATGGATTCTGATCACGAGTATTATTTAGAATCGATTGGTAATATCGGTAGAATAATCCTACCAAGTATGAATAGATTATACAAAAGAATTCAAAAATTATCACCACATGAATATTTTGCCAAAATCAAGATAACTTCCTGTATCTCATATATAAAAGGCGGTTTGCACATCAATGGAAGGTGATTTCGAATCATGAAAGGGTCCGTGCACATTCAAATGTGAATCACCCTGTATATAATAAATAAGGAAGCTTACCCTAATCGCCAGATGTCGTCCGTGGCAGTAGTTCATCACCTAAATGTTTAACAATAACACTAACGAATTCGATGTTTTAAGCATCGACACGTTTTGAGTCAACTATGTATGCTAAAATCTTCAGGAGATACATGTGAACTGTTAGCTTCCATTAGTATCAATTCAGAAATTGATCTATTATGTGTGTCTGTCATCTCTTGAGCTTTCATCCTATTTTCATGTATTTATTTTAGCATCCATGATTTGTTTAAAGTGATGAACTGATTGAAATAAAACGATAAACCAAAAAAAATACAGTGAATAACACACAATGCTTGAATGCAGTTACCTCGTATCAACCACAGACAATATTGAAATCTTGTTTCATTTTTGATATTTTTTCAGCGTTTGGATTTATGCAGTGCCTTCGAATCTGAGAAATTTTTTCTCACAATTGTAGGTTTTTATCCAGCAAAAGATATCAAACATAAGTGGCTATACTATATCAGTGCCACTTTCAATGCCTCCATTTCATGGCTGCTCCTCTCATCGGTACTGATGTTTTCTTTCACCCAAATCTCAAATCTTGCTAAAGTTTCGGAAACATTACTATTCGCTTTGATCCAATTTGCATATCTCTGTAAATTGTTGAACTTCACCTTATGTAAGAAGAAACTCCTCCTACTGGAAGATTTCCTACAGAGTCCAACTTTCACTCATGTCAATTCAGATGAAGACGAATTTTTCAAGGAATACATAAATGAAGTCAAGAGAATCGCTTTTATTTTCAGAATACTTTCGGCCCTTGTTGTCGTATTTTACGGACTCGTTCCAATGATAGACAAAAGTGAGGAAAATTCCCAGAAAC